AGCCCGGGCCGCGCGGGCCGCCGCCTTCTCCTCCCCCGCCGCCACCTCGCCCCGGAGGCCCGGGCGCCGGTCTGCCCCAGCCTGGGCTCGGCCTTTCTCCGGAGGCGACTCCCTGTGGTCCGTTGTGCGTCCCGTGCCGGCGTTCGGCCGAGACCCGTGCCCCTCACACCGCAGCTCGTCCCCTGCCTCCGTCAGTCGTAGGCAAGGAGGCCGAAGGGGGTGCGCAGCCTCCCAGGCGCGGGGCCGCCGTTTTGCCCAGGGCACCGACCCGCCCGCGTGGCACCCTCCTTTTTGTCAGAGGGTCTCCCCCCCACCCCGCTCTGCCGTGGAAGTCCCGTTATTGTCTCCAGGAGGAGCAGGGCCCCGAGGAGAACCGTGGAGTTGGACGCACGATTTTCTGACTGAGCTCTGCAGGTTTCACTTGATGAGACGGAACGAATGATCTCACTCTGAGGTTTTAGCCTGCTCTAGAGGTGGAAGGAGTTCCTCCCAAGTCATCTCAAGTTTTAACGCCTTTCAGGAGAAATCTGCTGGAGAGGAAAAACGTCCACGCGAACCCGTCTCTGCAAGCACGGGACCTCTTTGTTTGCGAAGAATTCATTGTTCGTTAAAAAAAAAAAAAAATTCTGCCAACTTGAAATTCGGCTTTGTTTTCAGGCATGGACAGAATTTGTCCATTTTTCTTGCCTCGAAAGATAAAATTGCAAGCGAGAAGGCGAGTTTTAAAGTGCAGAAAGCCTCCTCTTAGCCTTTGCAACGTGTCCTGCTTTGGGGGAATCCGTGTGCCCGCACAAGCTGCCTGCATGCAGAAAACGACCCTGCCTGGGAAGCCACTAGTTTGTTTATAAAATTCAGTTAGGCCGTGTGCCCCTGATGTTTTAACATCACTGCAGATACCATTACATAATTGCATCTTGCATATATGTCATTGATATCACCAGATTTGTAGCTCTTATCTGCTCTTGAAGTGGTCTGCCTTTTGCTCACACTGTCTGGAAAGGGAGGAAACAGCCTCAGGGAGAGACTTCAGGGAGGTCACCTTATCTGTTACATAGATAAGGTGACTTGGAAGAGCCAGCTCCAGTTATAGAGGCTTAGGTCTTCTGACTCCTCATCCTGCAACTCGAGGATGCCCCATTTTTGTGGGAATGAGGAGGCTCACCTAAAACACTTTAAGAAATACTCTTGAATTGCCCTTTTTGTTACATTTTTATTTTTTGATTTAACTTCTTGGCTTTGGAAATTACTACTAGTCAAGTAATCATGCTATTTTTTTCAAACATATTGAAGAGTTGAATTGTCCATTTGAACACTCCTAACTACCACTTAGTTTTTACAGTTGTCATTGCCATTTTGCCATATTTGCTTTGTCTACCTGTCTCACACTGCCAGGCATTTCAAAGTACATTGCAGTTATGACATTTCACCCCTAAATACTTTATATGTTATATGTGCCTGTATGTATCTCATAAGATTAAGACCATTTTTTTCCTCCTCCCCTCCCTTGGCAAAGTGAGTCTCCTCTCTCTCCCATTTACTTGATAAATAAACTATATTTTCTAATCTTAAAAACAAAAAGATTAAGGCCATTTTTCTACATAACATTTTTCTATCATAATCACACTTAAAGTTAAGAATATTACCTAAAATCTAATATATGATGTAGTACATAGTCACATTTCCTCTCTTGTCCCCCAAATGACCTTTCTGTCTTTTTTTTTTTTGGAGGCAGAATCCAATCCAATTATTTATTATATTTGTTAGTCTCTTTACATTTAGAGTAGTTCCTTCGTTTTTTTAAAGACACTTTTTGACAAGCCTAGCTCAGTAGTCGTAGAGAATAACCTGTATTCTTTATTTTACTGATAGTTCCTCCTGGTGGTGTTTAAATTGTCTCCTCTATCTCCTGTATTTTTTGTGAACTTGAAGTCCAGGTGTAAAGAGTAGATTTAGGTTCAATATATTTGATGGGACTACTTCATAAGTCATGTCATGTACGTCACATCATTTCATACTGCAGATGGCACTGCAAGAAATAGGGTTTCTTATTAATACTAAATTTGATCTCTTAGGTGACAGGCTGTCTTTCCATTGTAAGCATTTCCTTTTGCAATTAGCAAGTAATTTGTAGGGTGATATTTGGCATTAGTACTTGGTATGAATTAACCTGCAGTAATCTGATAAACACATAGTTGGGAGCAGTCCTTTAGGAATGGGTGTTTGGGAGTTAGGAGGATGGCAATTTGGAAGCAAAGACTAACCTATCTAGGGAAGCTGGAATGCTACTACTCTTTGGCATCAGAGCCTTGGGAGACTAGGGGAGAGGAGGCAGAAAGCAGGTGTCAGAGAGACTGCCTTCTTTGAAAGTTTGCTTGTAGCCATTGTAGCAGTAGTGAGCTATGGTATGGAAGTTCTGAGGTAGTTTGATGTTGCATGATTGCAAATTTCAGCATTCCCACTTCAACTGGAGCATTTCTCCCATTAGGCTACTTACTAGTTCAGTCCTTTTTCAATCCAGTGTTATTACTCAGCATTGACTTTTTTAGTAGAAGAGACAAGGACGGGAAAGAATAAGAAATTTTGTATCTTCTTCTCTCACACTTGTTTTCTTTATTCTTTTTTTTTTGAGTCAGGTCACCCATGCTGGTGTGCAGTAGCATGATTATGGCTCACTGCAGCCTTGACCTCCTGGGCTCAGGCTATCCTGGTACAGCCTGAGTAGTTGGGACTACAGTCATGTACCACCACGCCTGGCTAAGTTTTTCATTTTTTTGTAGAGACAAGGTCTCACTGCGTTGCCTAGACTGGTCTTGAACTCCTGGGTTCAAACAATTCTCCTGCCTCATCCTCCCAAAGTGCTAGAATTATAGGCATGCACCACCATGCCCTGCTTGTTTTCTTTATTCAAGAGAAAATTTAGAACCATACCAAGACTCTTCTTTTTTTATAAAAATTGGGCAGGGGATGTACTTAATTGAAATAGCAATTTTTGTATATGAAAAGTATACTAATTTTAGGTGACAAGAAATCGGAAATTTTTATTGACAACGTCTCTTGTTATTTCAAAAGCAACTTTTGAAAGATGAGAAATACTTATGACATAGTTACTAATTAAATATATAATCCTAAATAGTTTTTCTTTTTTCTTCCTCTTCAGAAATAGACTCAAAAATATATGATTTTTCAGACAAATTCTTTTTTTTTTTTTTTAAATCAGAGTCTTACTCTGTCGCCCAGGCTGGAGTACAGTGGCACATTCACGGCCGCCACAACCTTGACCTACTGGGCTCAGGTTATCTTTTGTCTCAGCCTTCCAAGTAGCTGGAACTACAGGCGAGTGCTAACCACGCCCGGCTTAATTTTGACTTATTGTAGAGATGAGGCTGGTCTCGAACCAACCCCTGAGCTTTGGCAGTCCTCTCACGTCAGCCTCCCAAAGAGCTGGGATTACAGACTTGAACCACTGTTCCCGGCCAAATTCTCTTAAATATTGATTTAAATAATAACTTTATTTACTCAGTAACTCGTGTCAAAAACTGTATGTTTGGGATTTTGGTTCATTTCTGCAAAGCAATTTTCTTTTAAGGATTTTCAACCCTCAGTATACCAAGAAACATAATTATTGCAGTTTACCATCTAGATTGAAAGGGACTGTTTATATTTACTTTTTTTTTCATATTTGAAGTTATTTTATATAATTTATAGAAATAAGAATAAAGGCATAGTGTAAAGCTTATTGGAGCTTTTAGTAAGAATTTCAACATAGCACACCTCTTTGTATATTCTTAGAAAAATGAAAAGAATAGATTTCATGCATTTAATTTCATAACACCCCTACAATGAATATATGTCACATCTGAGTGCCTTGGACATATATTTTTCTTACAATTGTAGCACACATTTTTTTTCTTTTTGGGATTTTGTATCTACGCAAAGAACATCTTCCTTTCTTCCCACTTTGCAATCTGTGCAAAAAATCATTGTGATTAGAGGGTAAGACAAAATTCCATTCCCAATTCCTGCATGTACTTTTCCTAGTTACATGAGAGATTTTCTTTTGGTAATTTACAGTTTTATAACTGAAACTTTTCCCATACAATAAAAACATCCTCTGCACTAACATCAGTCATAAGCCATCTTCAAGTCACACTTTTCCAAGTATAGTTTCTGACCCTCTTTTTGAGTGTTTTGATCCTTCCTGTAGTCTTTTTATAACACAAACCAGGCTGGGCTCGGTGGCTCAGCCTGTAATCCCAGCACTTTGGGAGGCTAAGGTGAGTGGATTGCTGAGCCTGCGGGTTTAAGACCAGCTCTTGGCAACTTGGCACGATCTTCTCTCTACAATAAATCAAAAATTAGCCAGGTCTGGTAGTGCGCGCCTGTGGTTCCAGCTACTTGGAAGGCTGAGGCAGAAAGATTGCCGGAGCCCAGCTGGTTGACGCTGGGATGGCTGTGAGCATGCCACTGTACTCCAGCCTGGGCAACAAAGTGAGACTCTGACTCCAAAAAAAAAAAAAAAGGAACAACAACAAAAAACAAAATATAACACAAATCACTTTGGGTTAATTTATGCAGGTTTTTTTTTTTTTTTAAGTCGGTATCTCACTTTGTTGCCCAGGCTGGAGTACAGTGGCATTCTCATGGTACCACAGCCTCAGTCTGCTGGGCTCAGGTGATCCTTCCACCTCAGCCTTCCAAGTAGCTGGAACTGCAGGCATGCGCCACCAAGCCTGGCTAATTCTTTGATTTATTGTAGAGATGAGATTTCGTTAAATTGCCCAGGCTGGTCTTGAACCTGTGGGCTCAGGCAATCCTCTTGCCTTGGCCTCCCAAAGTGCTGGGATTATAGGCATGAGCCACCGTGCCCAGCCATGCAGGGGTTTTTTTAATTCATTGATGGTTGAAAATGCCTTGAGCTGAGAAGAGTAGCCACACTATTTCTTTAGGACAGTAAGAATCATGGAAGTATATACGAAATCCAGATTTTGTGTGACTAACTTCTTTTGTTTTTCCATTTGTGAAAATTCACAGGAGTTCAACCCTGTTCTTCCTGAGAATGCCAACTAAAGAGAGTTTCTTGCTGGATAGTGCTCAGCCACGTCTAAATTTGTAAAAAAATTTGTCACAAGTTATATCTCTGACAGAATTCTGAAATTCTTTTAATTCTGTTAATTCTTTTTTTTTTTTTTTTTGAGTTGGAGTCTCACTCTGTCACCCAAACTGGAGTGCAGTGGCTGCTC